CATAGGCCTCCATGGTGCGCCCTAGGACGGCTTGAAAGACCCGGGCCACCATCCGGGTGTAAGTGGCCCCTGAGTTCTTTAGGCCGAAGGCCATTACTAGGTAGCAGAAGATGCCCTCGGGAGTCATGAAGGCTGTTTTTTCGGCGTCTTCCTCGTGCATGCAAATTTGGTGATACCCTCGGAAGGCATCGAGGAAAGACATGATCTCACACCCTGCGGTCTCATCCACCAGTTGATCAATATTTGGCAGAGGGAATGGATCCATAGGGCACGCCTTGTTGAGATCGGTGTAGTCTACGCACATGCGGAAGGTAGGGGGCTTCTGTGCGAGGACTACATTCGCTAGCCATGAGGGATATTTCACCTCCTTGATGTGCTTAATAGAGAGGAGCATGGCGACCTCCTTCTTCACAAATTCCCTCCTTTCGGCGGAGAGGGGTCTTCTTCGTTGTTGTACTGCTTTTGCCGAGGGGTCCACCGAGAGGCGGTGGGTGATGACCTTTCGGCTGATTCCCGGCATGTCCTCCGGCCCCCATGCAAAGACAGTGGAGTAGGCGCGGAGGGCGTCGGTGATACCGGTCTTCAAATCTTCAGGAAGCTGGGCTCCAATCTTCACGACTCTCTCCGGCTGGGCCGGATCGAGCGCAAAGTCTTCTACGTCCTCGGCCGGTTCAGCCCTCGGCCTTTTTTCCTCTTGGTCGATGGTTCCGGTGATGGTGTCAACACGGAATTCCGTCTTACTTACCTTCTTAGTGACTTGAAGATAGCAGGCGCGGGCGATTTTCTGATTCCCCCGGGAGTAGCCAATGCCCCCCTCGGCGGGGAACTTGAGGCAGAGGTGCCTCATGGAGATGATGGCCTCGAGGTCCTCCAGGGCTGGCCGGCCGAGGATAATGTTGTGGGCGCAGTCGATGTTAACGACGACGAACTCCACTTCGAGCTGGGCTCTATGGAGCCCGTCGCCGAAGATCACCGGGAGGGTTATTACCCCCTCGGAATCAATAGTGTCGCCGGTGAAGTCGGCAAGAGGGGTCTTAATGGGCCGAAGGGACCCCCTCTCCAGATGCAGCTCTCTGAAGGTGCTGAGGTACATTACATTGACGGAGCTGCCCGTGTCAATGTAAGTTCGGTGAATAATGGTGTCATTTATCTCGGTCCGAATCACCAAAGCATCCCTGTGAGGAGAAGAAGTAGGAGGGAGATCTGCGTTGGTGAAGGTGATGGGTTCCTCCCTCAGTCGCTTTACCGGGGGCATATGAGTGACTTCCCCCACGTAAAGCGATTGAGCCCACTTCTTTCGCTGGCTGGTGGAATCGCCCCCTGTATTGCCACCGGTGATCATGAGGATGTGGCGTTTTTTCTCCTGGTATTGGGGGTACTCCTCCTCTTCTTCCTCCAAGTTTCCGATCTCCCTCTTTTTGCCGAGGGGGATGGTGTTCGGGTTTACCCAAGCGTTCACCTTCGTGTGGTGCCCTCGGGGAGGTCCCTGATGAGAAGGTCCCTCCTGCCGAGGGCTCTGAACGAATTGGGACAGGTGCCCCGCTTGTATCAACCTCTCGATGGCCGTCTTTAGCTGATGGCAGTCATCGGTCCTGTGCCCCTGGTGCCGATGGAAGCGACAGTATGGGAACTGAGGGTTGATAGCATGTACCTCCGGGGGTGCGCGAGAGTCGCGCTCAACGAGGCCCCTCTCCTCGGCAAAATCAAGGATGATGCTGACGGGGTGCGTCAATGGTGTCCGGGGGCGGTCCAGGAGAATGGGCTGCGCCCAAGTCTTAGGGCTGCTCTTATAACCTCCCCCGGGCTTGGCTTGGCCTTGCCGAGGGCGGTCATCAGAGGGTCCCGAAGCCTTGGGGTGATTTGGAGGAGCCCCCGGCCCTCGGTTGTTTTTGTTGTCAGCCCTCGGGGGCTGCTGGTCCGGATGCTGGTGATACTTTTCCACCTCCTCGGCCTCAGCATATCGGTCCCCCCGCTGCAAAGCCCTTATGTAGTCGCGGGGGGGGGGGGGGGGGGGGGGGGGGTTCAATGATGAGGCTCCTTGAAAAGTTGCCGGTGCGGAGGACGGTTTATAGGAGGGCCAGGAGGGTCCCGTCATCAGCACCGTCGACTTTGTCGGCTTCCGTCCTCCAGCGCTCCAGGAAGTCCCGAAGGGTCTCATCCCTCTTTTGGCGTATTGTTAGGAGGTGGGAGAAGTGCTTCCTCGTGCGACGCCTCCCGGCAAATTGTGTCAAGAATCGCTTGGCGAGTTCTTGCCACGAATCAATGCAGCCCTCGGGCAACCTGTAATACCCGAGATTAATTTAAGAGGATTAATAGTACTACTCATACCAACAAGATGCATCTCCTTTTAAGGGAGCTTATCACCAAGAACTCCAAAGTTAAGCGTGCTTGCACGGGAGTAGTCTTGGGATGGGTGACCCCCTGGGAAGTTTCTCAGGGTGCGCACGAGTGAGGACAAAGTGCGCGGAAAAGGGCAGTGGAGGTTTGTGAGGACAGTACTAGAGGTCAGAAGTAACTACCTCGGGGCCTACGGGGCCGGGGTGTTATAAATGGTATCAGAGAAACCCTGCGACAGTGTGATGATCTGTTGGATATCGGACGGGCACTTATCAGGGGAAAAGATTCTGGGATATGATTGAGATTGGTTTATGGGCGCAACGAGGACGTTGCGTTCCTAAGTGGGGGTGATTGTAATACCCGAGATTAATTTAAGAGGATTAATAGTACTACTCATACCAACAAGATGCATCTCCTTTTAAGGGAGCTTATCACCAAGAACTCCAAAGTTAAGCGTGCTTGCACGGGAGTAGTCTTGGGATGGGTGACCCCCTGGGAAGTTTCTCAGGGTGCGCACGAGTGAGGACAAAGTGCGCGGAAAAGGCCAGTGGAGGTTTGTGAGGACAGTACTAGAGGTCAGAAGTAACTACCTCGGGGCCTACGGGGCCGGGGTGTTACACAACCGGTTGAACCATTCGTATGCCGGCCCCTCTAAGGTGGAGAGGAACCAACGACACAAATATTCGTCCGACGCCCCTACCATCATCATGCTGTTCTGATATTTGCTGTAGTGTTCCTGGGGGTCCGTCTTCCCGTTGTAGGGCTGTATGTGCTGCCCTCGGTATTTTTCCGGGATCCGGGCCGCCAATACCCTTGGGGTAAATGGCGTCCGGGTCCGTAGCTGGATGACAGGTTCCCCGGAGCCCTCGGCCACCTTCTTCTGTAACTCCTCCATTTTGGCCATCATGGCCTCGTATTTGAGATCTGAATGAGGGGTGGAGGTGGTGGCGTGAGCTTTGTTGGACTCCATTTCGTCAAGCCGACGTTGGAGGGCCGCAATAATCTCGTCCCGGGGATCCTTCGGGAGGGTCTCCGCCCCCTGCGAATGAACCCGGGCCGAGTGGGCCTGGTTGATTTGGTGGCGAGCATCATTGGCATGAAGGGGAGCCTTGCCTTTGTCCCGAGGGGGACGCTCCTCGTCTGCCCTCGAGACAGACCCTCCACTTTCCTGGGGCCTTTGGAGTGCCTTTCCTCCGAGGCGGTCTTGGACCCCTCGGCGGTCTGGCCCTCCTCCGATCCGGTTGAGGGCGGAAGTGCGAGGCCTTTCCCTGTCGTCATGGTGGCGGTCCCAGGACTGAACTTCCTGGGAGGACGTATCTTGGGCCGCTACCCCTTCGTCATTCCTAACCCGAGGGAGGGGGTTGCCGAAGGGGTGTGGCAGAGGGGGAAGTATGATGTTTTCCCCAACCTGGGGGTGAGCCAGAGCCAGGGTGCCGAAGGCACCCGGGTTCTGAGTGAGCGTTTGGATGAAGGCGGAGAGCGCCGATTGCACGTCGATGGTGAGAACCGGAGGGCGTACTTGGTCATCGCTCCGGTTTTTCTTCTTGGCCTCGATGCCGAGGCGGGCATCGGGGGCATTTTGTTGGATCTGAAGGCGCAGGTCGACAGCCGCCTGTTCCAGCCCAGCGATGACACCGCCCTCGGGAGCCCTGTGAGAGGCTTCGGGGGCGTTGACGTCGCCGAGGGCCAGGTTCTTGTCCTCTACGTTTTTTGAGTTGGCACATGTTGTTCTCACCATTTTAGCTAGGTGTTTTGTATTTGGTCGGGGGGGGGGGGGGGGGTCTTACTTGATTGTTCGACCTCTCAATGAAAGCACCAAATGATGGATAGTCTACCCGGGGGTAGCTTATCCGAGGGGTTATTGCGGAGAATAACTAGAGAGAAGTCAGAGCAAGTAAATATAGAGAGAGAGTGTATTCAGTATGAGTGTCGTTGTTACAAATGGGGAAATGGGGTGCTATTTATAGTAGCAATAAATGCCGGACAGGGACACGTGTCAAGCGCTCATTGGCCGAGGGGTCACTTCAACTGGTTGGCGTAGGCAGCCGCATGTGGCCGCATTTAATGCGGCTGTTGGATGGGACATCTGTACAGGGTACGGTGATCTGTACGCATGTGAGGCGGATATCATGTCGGGAGAGGTGCCTTCGGCTATAGGCAGCAGCCGAGGGCTCCTCAAACCGATGGCCCCCTGGTGCCGAGGGCTACTATTTTTGCCGTTTTCTCCCAGTTTCTTAGTTAGCTTGAGAACCCCGTTCTGTAAGAGTTCAGAGCCTTCGGCCAGGGGGCCGAAGGCACCCCTAGCGCGTAGTGCGGGCTGCTTGGTACTCTGGCGCTGTGATTTGGGCCTGTTGAGCCTTCTGGGCCTGTTGGGCCTTTGCTGGAGTAGTAGGAGTCTGTGGACCGGGAGTTACCGAGCCATATACTCCATCAATTCCTATAATGAAGAGGGACGAAATTGGAATTACCTGGTTTGAACAAAAATACAGAGTCAATTAAAGGAGAAGTGTTTTATTTATTTGTACCCAATAGTCTTTAAAATTCAAAAGCTACCACCTACCCATTGACGACGTAGCAAAGCTAACAAAGCGCGTAAGACCCAAACACTTACCTAAATGAACTCAATCACTCCCTTTATTACCATTTACTGCGCACAATCCATCCCAGCTTTTTGCTCACCAAACCATCCCTAACCCCCACAACTAAAGTAAAGACTACAATCTCTTCGTCCCCTGTATGCTCTGCCACAAAAAGAAAGAATCTTCAATCGATCCATGGCAGAAACCAAATCTGGAGATCCCCAGGCCCAATATTCCCCGTGTAACTCTTCACTGTTTCTGGTAAGAGTGATGAGCAAGAGAAGGACATGGGTTTGCCTCTTTCTCTTCGTCTACACCCTCCTCCTCTCAATTTCTTGGAACTTCCTCAATTCCGTCCTATCTTGGTACGAATCCGCCATGGCCGCCACCTCTTCCTCCTCCTCCTCTTCGGGGTGGCCGGCGCTGTACGCGTCCGTCCTCTTAGGGGTCGCTTTCGGTGTTCTGTCCATGGTGGCGGCGTTGGCCGTGGTGGTGCCGGCCACCCTGGTCACATGGATTACCATTCTGGTTTTGCTGGCTTTCTTTGGGAAGCCGAGGAGAACTCTGGTTATGGAGGGGAAGCAGCTGACTGCCGACATCACCCGGTTTGTGGTCAAGGTCTTGGTTAAGGAAGGCAACATAGTCGCCGCCCTTTGTGCCGTCGTTGGCTACTTTGCCCTTGTCCGGCGGAGCAGAGACGTCGGCGGCACTGATTATTAACTCCCGACAGTGACCCAAATCTGAGGGAGGGATCAATTGGAGAATTTCAAAGTTTTTCCGGGGCAGTTTGGGAATTTCTCAATTTGGTCCCAGCGATCTGTAGCTTCTACGAAATTGCAGCTTCGTTCGGAAGAAAAGGCATCACGTTTTCCTAGAATATTTAGAGTTGTAGACAGCTAACTTGTAATATTTCTCATCTCATGTTATACATTTCTGCTTGTAATAATTCTTGGATCTTTGTGCCTATATATTTATTTATTTGTTCATTGTTTCATTCTTTGGAAATATTCTTTCTATTTATTAATTTACTCGGCATTTCATAATGCAAATTTTCAATATGATGGGGAGATTTGCATACACAAAACTAGCTTGTACTGTATAATCATACTACTATACTTTCGTAAATTGAAAATGACTAACAAAAATCACACAAGAAGCAAGTTTCACACTCTTAAATGATAATTTAATCATTAAATATTATAAATAATACAAAGTATATTTATAACGTCACAATTATCATCAATGATTCTACTATATTATATAGGGGTAATTTGAATTTGCACTCCTTTTTATTGTCCAAATTTGACTTTTCATTTTCAGATTGTCATCATGATAAATGTACTGCTACAAACATGACAATTTTTTCAAATACTAGTAATACTTTTGACATTCTCAGATTATAAAAGTGACATTTTGCTTATGAAGTAAAATTCAAATCCAAAAAATCCAAATTAGTAAATAAAATTCAAATCCAAAGAAGAAAAAGAAGAAGAGAATAGGGGACCAGAAAATTGAAGAGGATTAGAAGATGAAGAAGAAGAAGAAGAAGAAGAAGAAGAAGCAAAAAATAAGAAGACCAGAAATTTGAAGAAGAAGAAGAGGAAGAGGAAGAAGCAGAGGACTTACCTGGTTGCCTATGCGATGGGAGGCCGGAGTGGATGACGAGCTCAGATCCATGGGAGGAAGAGATGTTTGCGATGAATTGCAGAAGATGACAACGATTGCGCAATGTTACGGCACCGGAGGCTATTTCCGTTCAAATGCAAATATTTACTCCTATTTAGAGAATTTAAAACAATGAGTCCTAGTTTTGCAATTACCTCCTGTTTTACTCCCATTTTGACGATTTTCTCTTTTGAAAACTCATTTTGTAAGTTATGTATGCTCATTTTAAAATGTTATATCAATGCATATTTCTAAAGTCTCATATTATATTAGATTCACATAGAAGTTGATTATACACATGAGACCACAAATCATGATACTCAATCGCACGATTCTAATACTCAATAACAGAGGTTTGATGCTCACTAAAAATGTCTTGATGCTCAATGAACAAAACTTACAATTTTCATATCAATGCTCATCTTGTAACTTACATATGCTCATTTGTATAGGTCTGATTCTCATTAAAAATTCATTAATGTTCATTATCTGAAATCGTGATTTTCATCAATCTCAATAGAGGAGGTTTGATGCTCAATGAAAATATTGTGATGTTCAACTAACCAATCAACTAACAAATTCATTAATGCTCATTTTGTGAGTTTCTTATGCTCATCTGGTACTGATTTTATACTCATTTTCTAAATGTCATATCAATGCATTTTTTAAAAGTACTATTTTACATTAGACTTCTAATACTCAACATAATAGGTCTGATGCTCATTAAAAGATCATTAATTCTCATTCGTTAGAAACCGTGATTTTCATCTCAATAATGGATGTTCGATGCTCAATTAAAATGCCGTGATGTTCAACTAACAAACCTCACGATTTTCATATCAATGTCTACTTTGTAAGTTATGTATGCTCATTTGGTATTAATGTTATGCTCATTTTTAAAATGTCATATCAATGCATATTCCAAAAGTATCATATTACATTAGACTCGCGCATTGAAATTAATAAGAGTGGCTGTGAGTGGCTGTGATGCACACTAATTAGTAGTGCATAATTGTATGTTTTTATGTTTCATTGATGGTGATTGTTTGACGTTTTATTTAGTTTGTAAACATTTATGTGATTTCAGTTGTAATTGTATTTTAGTCTTTATTTGTCAGTTGTAAAGTTTAGTTAGGATTTGTGGTGTTGGAAAGGAAGACTTTGAAGTGAAGAAAAAGAAGATTTGGCTACCCAGGAGCAAATACCCGACCGGGTATAACACTTGACCCGGTCGGGTAAGAAGTGAAAAACGAAAATGCAAAGAAAGTGCATGGCCCGGTCGGGCCCACTACCTCACCCGGTCGGGTGAGAAGTGACCGGGGACAACCCGGTGTGCAAAGATCACCCGAACGTGAAGAATATCCAATTTTTGCACTCACCCGGTCGGGTCCCCTACCCCACCCGGTCGGGTCTGACTTGACCCGGTCGGGTACCCGGCCAAAGGTGTTGAAAACACCTATAAATAGCACATTTTTCCTTCACAAAAAATCATCCCTTCTTCCATACTCTTTAGCTAAGTTTAGAATAGCATTTCTTTATATTTTTCTAGCTATGTTTAGTCTCCAAATGAGGAGCTAAACTTCCATTCTTGGTGTTGCTCTTGAAGCTTGTTGATTATTAAAGTTCTGAGTTATTTTCTTAACTTCTTTCCTTGAATATTAATTAATAGTTCTTTCCTTAATACCATCTCTATATTAATGTTGGGGAGTGTTGCTAAGATGACAATTAGTTAACATCTCGACATTAGTTAGTATGATATTTTCTTCCTCTATATTTATGTTGGGGAGTGTTGCTAAGATGACAATTAGTTAACATCTTGATATTAATTATAGTAGGATTCATCTTCTTTAATAATATTCTTCCTTGAATATTAATTAATTCCTACTCTTATTTCATATTAATATTTTGAACATTACTTAAAGGATCAACTAGTTTTGTTTCATATATTAATTATTACTAGAAACGATCAACGAACCGATGGTTAATCGTTGATGGTTTCACAAGTAAGTAACTTCGGTTTATTAATGCACGGTCGTGGTTAATAAACTTAAGAGGGATTAATTTTGTTGGTTAAACCGAAACCGCTTGTGTTGAGGTTATCAATCTCAATTGATTTCATCAAGGAGTTAGAAAGATTAAATGCTACTATTAAATCGGTATAAGGCGTTGTTCTATATTTGATTAATAGTAAGGGTTATTAATGAACGGTCGTTGTTAATAACTACCCTCGATGAAGTAGATATACTCCCCGATTGAGTATTCGAGAGGGAATAAGTTATAGATATAACAATGATCGACTAAAATATATCAACAAGTGGAAAGTAGCAATGCCAAGTCCTTTTTATCTTTGAATTAAATCTCATATAGGTCGTTCATCTTAGTTTTTAATTAAATTAAATCACTCAATCCAAATCTCCCCTTTTATTTACTAAGTTTCATAAAAAGAGAATTATTCCCTTCCCTGTGGATACGAACTCTACAACTCTATACTACGTATAAGTGTTAGTATTGAAAATTATTTTGACGCACCGTGACAAAGTGCTCGTCAAATTTGGCGCGGTTGCCGGGGAAAGGAAATTAATTTTCTTTCTATTTTATTTCAAGAAAAATAAAAAAAAGGACATTTAAAAGATTTTTATTTTGGCTGAGCTTTGTTTGAGTATATGGTTAAACACCGATCTATAAACCAAATCACCTACCAAACAAAACCCGAAACAGAACAAGCCTTCGAGAGGTTCAGGAATCTATTTCCGAATACTTCTTCGGTGGAATCATCAAGTGCTAGTTCTCATTCTAGCGAATCCGAAGAGTCCTTCCACATGGCCCTGGAAACAAGAACGCTGAGGGAGCTAACGGTTCCGAATCTAAATCAACAACCCTTATGTATCACTTTTCCAACTCTTGATACGGGGGTCACATTCGAGCTAAAATCTGGGCTCATTCATCTACTTCCCTAGTTCCCTCTTTCCATGGCCTACGAGGGGAAGATCCAAATAAACACTTGTCAAAGTTCCACATTGTGTGCACAAGCATGTGCCCCAATGGCGTGTCCGAGGAGCAAATCAAGCTGAGAGCCTTCCCATTCTCCCTCAAAGACACCGCCAAAGATTGGCTATTCTATCTTCCCTCGGGGAGCATCAATACATGGGCTCAAATGAAAAAGAGCTTCCTTGACAGGTACTATCCCGCATCTATCTCTTCAAGTCTCAAGCAGCAAATCAGCAACATTGAGCAAGCGGATAATGAGACCTTATATGAATATTGGGAGCGCTTTAAAAAATTATGTGCTAGTTGCCCATATCATGGGTATTCAGAACAAGATCTCATCCTCTACTTCTATGATGGACTTGTTGATCAAGATAGACGCATGGTGAATGCGGCATGCGGAGGGGGTATTGTTAACAAAACCCCTTCTCAAGCAAGAGACCTCATTTCGGAGTTGGCCGAAAACTCGAGACATAACAACAGAAGGTCATCATCGAAACGAGTCATGGCAGCAGAATCCAACAACTCGTTGGAGAGTCAAGTAGCCGGCTTGACTTCTTTGGTTAAAGATTTCCTTTTAAATCCAAAAACCCAAGAAGTCAAGGTCTGCGGCATCTGTTCAACGCAAGGGCATCCCACAGATTCTTGCCGGACACTACAAGAAGAGAACTCCGAGCAAGTCAATGCTTTGGGGTTCCAAGGTCAAAGGAGGTACGATCCTCAAGGAAATACTTACAACCCGGGATGGAGGGATCATCCGAATTTAAGGTACGAAAATTCTCAAACAAATCCTCCTCCTCAACAATACAAACCACAAGGCCAAACATCGAACTCGAGTATGTCCACTGAAGACATGATTCGAGCGCTGGCCGTTAATATGGGAACAATGCAGCAAAGCATGGGGCAATTCCAACAAACCATGATGCAATTCCAACATGAAACCAAGCCGAGCATTCAAAATTTGGAAACTCAAGTTAGCCAAATTTCAAATGCCGTAAGTCGACTTGAAGCAAAAGATTCGGGTAGGTTCCCCTCCCAAACTGAGCAAAACCCAAGACAACATGTCAATGCAATCATGTTGAGGAACGGTAAAGAATTGCAACCACGGGAAGTTGAGGAGGAGAAGCAAGAGGTTGATCTTGAAGAAGGCTTTCAACAAGAAGAAGAGAAGCCAACGAAGACTAAATTTCCTCCACTGTCATCATATGAACCACTCCCTCCATTCCCTGAGGCATTGAAAGACACGAGGAAGCTGAAGAATGATCGGGACATCTACGAAACATTCGTCAATTCTGAGGTAAACATCCCACTCTTCAAACTGATCAACAGTGTTCCCCGTTATGCAAAGTTCTTAAAGGAACTATGCACAATGAAAAAGAAAAATAAACTGGAAGGGAAACAAAAAG